AAAAAATGATGAAGAATTATAATATTTTTGAAAAAGTCGATATAGAGTAATACTACCCCTAATCCTAATTATAAAACCTTATTTGCAGTCTATAAATGAGATCTTATAATTAAAGTCGGGGGTAGTATTAATTACTTAAGCTAGATAATAAGCATCTTTTATTCTTTTAATTAGTTAAAAATTAAAAAATATGGACATAAAAGATAAAAAATGGTAAAAATGTAATTTTTCTTTTAAACCCAGTAGAATCAACGAATAACATTAAGGAAAGAAATTTGATTTCATTTTTTTATTTTTTTTCTCAATGAGTTGTGCTTGTGGCTAGTATTTTTTTCTAAGTTGATAAATTATCTCATACATATTGATAAAATAAAAAAATTATTTAAATTTTATAAGAGTAAAATAGTTCATTTTTGAATAATTCTCGTCCCTTCCCCTCTTATCTCAAATAAGATATCATTAAAATGACTCCCCTTCTTTCCCTTCCGATTAATCTAAACAAAGGATTATTAAAATTTCTCCCCTCTTATGTGAAATAGTAATGAAAGAGGATTGAATCATGGTCCTCCACAATATTCTTCTAAAAAAGTAAAAAAAAAAAAAAAAAGGTGAACAAAATAGTTACAGGAAAGAATATGGTATCACATCCATCTTCAATATTATTTTTACCTCTTTTACATGAAAGAGCTTCAAAATTTGAGGATTAGGTGGCAGATGAATTCTTTTGAGAGAAAAATATACATCACCACCAATTCCTGTCTCTACTGCGAAAAAAAATCCTGACACAGACTTGCAGATGAAAAAGCATAAAAAATGATACAAGTCTGACACAGATTCACACTAACACAATCGAATTTCAGAGCAACTTGTATATCAAACTATAATTTCCATTCAAAATTATTAATGTTCCTTAATATAAATCTAAAACTTCTGCTTCTATGCTATCTCCGAGGTCTTAACTTTGCCCATGCCTCTCGGACTTGATATATTTGTAAATTTTAGAGTTGTTTCAGACTGATAAAAAAAAACCTAATTTCCAGTTAAAATCGCAAGAAAAGAGTGAAATCTAAATTTCCAATAAACTCATGGGATGCAGCTGGGAAAATAAATTACCAACACGCAAGGAGAGGAAACAGGGAAGAGAAGTGAAGACTAAGAGAAGCACAGTTAAGAAAAGAAAAAAATTTAGGGCACAGGACATAAATATATATTCATCTATCTCTGAACAAATGAGCGTAAACTAACATTACTACTACAAAATACTTTATTTGTAGCATTTAAAAAGAAAATGCTATAGCTAGTACTCAATAATTTATTTTTTAAAAAAAGATATATTCTTTAAATAAGTGCTGCAGCAGTCTATTTATGTAGCACTCTCTCAAAAAAGCACTACAGCAGTCTATTTACCTTTTAAAAAAATTAAAAAAAATATTTTATAGTATTTTCTATAAAAAGCATTACAAGAGGTACAGGAGTTTCTGTAGCACTTTTTACAGAAGATTATTTTTTTAAAAAAATTTTAATTCGTGAAACTTGCTGTAGCGCTTTCTAAAGAAAGCGCTACAAAAGGCCTTTAACTTTTAAAAAAAAAGAAAAAAATAAGGAATTTTTTTTTAAAAAAAGAAAAAGCTAATGACATATTTCTATCTATTTTTTTCCTTTTTCCATTGATAAGTTTTTTTAAAAAAAAACTAAAAGCATTTTTTTAAAAAAAGAAAAAATATAAGGTACTTTTTTAAAAAATAATGAAAAACCTTATAGAAAACGCTACAGAAGCTGCCTTTCTATAAAAAGCCCTTTTTTTCATTTTTAATTTAGGTTAAAAAATACTAAACATTATTTTAAAAAATTATAAAAATCTCTTGCTAATGATATTTTCCTCTCTCTTTTTTTTAATTTTCACAATTTAAAGAAGAAAGCTAAAAGCAATTTTTTTGTAAATTTATAAAAATCACATGCTAATGACACATTTCCCTCCATTTTTCTTAATTTTCCTTTGATAAGTTTTAAAAAAAAAGGCAATGCATTTTTTTAAAAAAATTATATAAAATCACCTGCTGTAGCATTTTGATTACAGTATATCCCTCCTTTTTTTTTCATTTTTCCTATTTAATTTTGTACAAAATATTAAAGTATTTTTTTAAATTATAAAATCCCCTGGTAATGACATTTTCCTCTCTCTTTTTTTTCATTTTCCCTTATTAAGTTTTTTAAAAAAAAGCTAAATTCCATTTTTGAAAAATTAAAAAATATCTTCTATAGCGTTTTAAAAACGCTACAAAAGATTAGATGTTGTAGCGTTTTGTGTGCAAAACGCTATAATAGTTGCCAAAAACCTTCCCTTCGACTCCCTCCATTTTTTCCCCCCATTTTCCTTCTCTTTTTCTAACCTACAGCTCCAACTCACTCTCTCTGTCTTTTTCTAAACCCACAACTCTACCTCACTCTAACCCATAGCTCGATCTCTGTCCTTTAACTTCAAGACACCATTTTCAACTCTCTTTTTTCCCCACAGCTTCTTGTCATACCCCTTTTCCCATGTATCGCTACCACTACATGTTTTTCTAAGCTCCCCACTTCCCTTGTCCTTCTCTGTTGCCGCCTCCACCTTTCGTTCCCACCACGGTCCCTTCCTCCACCCCCACCCCTTGCCCATCCCAACACCCACCCACGCCACTCACGGTTCCCACCCCCTTCTCATCCCACCTCCCACCCACAGTCCCCACCTACACCCACGGTCCCCACCCTTTTCCCGTACCACTTTCCCAATCTATCCCCATTCTCATTCTTTTTACCCTTATTGTACCCCTCTTCCCCCTCACCACTTTCATTTAACTTTTTTTTTTTTTTACAGATTCTCAATGTAATTCAAATCAGTCTATAATACACTGTAAGTATTTTTTTTCAGCTAAATTATTTAAAATCTTATGTAGTTGGTTAAATTTTGTAAAATTGTTCCTTGGTAAAAACTTGAAATATGTTGAAAAATTAATGACATAGGGTTAATTGTTATCAGGTTATTACATGTGAAAATATGTGATAGTTATATATTTCTATTTTCTATTTTAGGTGGAATCATATGTTAGAATGGTCTAAATATTTAATCCGTTAGCTTTTAATGCTTTTTATTTTAGATTTGATATAAGTTGGCAAATATGATTTTTTGTTGTTGTTGTTGTTGGTTATAGTTGTGAAAAGTCGTTGAGCTGTGCTGGATTAATTGGTTGATTATAATTAAAAGAGATGGTTATGCCGTTATGCTGCCCATTTTATTTTTAGATAAATAAAAAAATATTAAAAGTATTAATAGATATAATAATAATTATGTACTTAACTATTTATTTATAATAAGTTGAAGACATGGATCGAAAATGAATGTCATCTAATCAGTATTCAATGGAATATATAAACGGGGTGAAAAAGTTTATTAGTTTTGCCCCACCTAACAAACGAGTATATGCCAAATATATTCGTTTGTTATTATGTAACAGACGAGTATGTTAGAATATACTCATCTATTTTTTTTTATAATAGACAAAAATAATGATCTTTTTTTCTTTGTTTTTAAAAACTGACAAAAAAGAGAGACGTAAAATATATATGGCTAAAGTATACATTTGGTCCTTTAACTTTATTTAAAGTTTCAATTTGGTCCTTTAACTTTAAAAGGTATATTTTTAATCCTTTAACCCTAAAATTGTTAATATTAAATGATAATTTTTTTGTAACAATCATGGTTGTTTTGAAAATTGAACTTAATATTATAGCATTTAGTAATGTTTTATTAACATTCATCAAGAGTTGAATACCATCGTTTTTTGTTAATGGTTTTAGGGTTAGAAAACTAAAAGTTTACTTTTTAAAGTTAAGGGACCAAAATGAAATCTTATATAAAGTTAAAGGACCAAACATATACTAAGTCAATATATATTTTGTAGTAGTGTTGTTACTGATTGGCGGAAGCCTAAACTTGGTTATGTTGTAATTATTCTTGCTAAGTTAGAAACCTTAGCTTACAAGAATCGGATCTCCATTTCTGGATTTCTGCGTGCCATCCATGAACCCGGTTGTGCTTGTCTTCTTTCTAACGTTCCAATTTTTTCGAATATTCCTAAGGAAAAAAAAATGTTACCTTCTGTGGCTTCATAATTACTTCTAGTCTTTAATATAAAATCTAGTTGACTAATTTGAATATATTAAGAAACTTATTAAATTATTTAATTATAGTATATGTTATATGATCATTTAAAAATATTTCAGTGTACAATTAGATTATATATCAATTTATACGAATAACAAATTAATTCAGAAAAAACGATAAACATAAATAATTTAAGATAATTTATTAATTTTTTAAATAAGTCAATTGAATTTTATATTAAAAATAAGAGGAAGTATAAAACTTTTATGTTAGGACCCTAGGGTCGTCCCAAGCCCATCTTTTGTAGTTTTGGACTTAATGCACTGGCCTTCTTTGACATTTTAGGAGAAATTAGTTAAATTTAACAAGCATGTTTAATTTCTGTAAATATTATTAAAAACTCACAACATGGAAAATTACACGGAATGAAACCTGAAAAAAGAAATTGCATTATCATGTCAAAATACCAGCTCATCCTTCCATCGTAACTACACGAGTTTCCACACCTAACGCGAGACTTATATATACAGATATACGTATCAATCTCAATGGATTCTAGAATGTATGTCTGCGCGCATGCGGGAGATCTTTTTCCCCATTGTCGTTACATCACACGTGGGAGACTTTGATATGCATATGCAGCCTGCAGGTAAGTCTACGAATGACGCGTGGAATTGCTTAGGCGGCTACATAAATTTACTCTTCCTCCGGCCGCCTCCACTGCTCCTCCACATGCTCGCCTTCCCTGGCCGGGTTTAGGAATCTTGTCGGAGCCCAGCTTAGATTAGGGGGCATAAAAACCTCCGATAATCATAAGAATTGAGATCAAAAGTCGTATTCAATTTAACTACAAGTGATAGATTTTCAAAGTTTATTCATCTTATATATCCATAACTGCAGTAACAGAGCTCATAATAAGCAAATATCCAACAACCACTGTATAACAACACACTGAAAGCAGGATCAACTGAATAGTGCGATGTCCTAGTGGTTTTATCTTTGTGCTGTGCAGAATCCATCAAATATTACTTGTGCTTTATATCTCGTCATCGTACAGATCTGGAAGCGGAGGCTTCGTGGGTCCATCGATCAAACGTTGCTGCTTTATTTCACTGATTTTCTTATGATCATCTTCAGTCAACGACCAGTCGAAGATTTGCAGGTTTTGCTTCATCCTTTCTTTGTTGTAGCTCTTCGGCACGAACGTCACGCCTTGCTCGTACAGCCATCTCAGGCAAACCTGAGCGCTTGATTTGCCCCTCGCTTCTGCTATCTCCTTCACCACATCACTCTCCATGGCCTCGTTCGATCCCCTGCCCACTCCCTGCCTCAGCGGCGAGAACGCTGTGATCACTATCCCTTTTGATTTGCAGTAGTCCACCAGCTTCTTCTGCTGCCATGCCAGGTTCATCTCCACCTGATTCACCGCCGGCGGGATGGTGGCGAATGACAGCAGCTCGTCGAGCTTCTTAATGGAGAAGTTGCTGACTCCGATGGCTCTGGTGAGTCCCAGTCTCTGGCAATCTTCCATGGCCGCCCACACTCCCTTCAGATCAAAATGAACCACATCTGCTGCCTCTATGGGGAAAGCCAACTTGCCTGGCTTAGCAGAGATAGGAAAGTGAACCAGATACAGGTCCAGGTACTCCAGCTGAAGATTCCTGCACCACAACATATAGAGATATAAACTAAATCCTCCATTATTAATGACCCTGAAACATATATATACCAGAAATAGGTGAGACCTGAGGGAGTTTTGGAGAGCAGGAAGAACGAGGTGAGGATGGTTTTGGTTGCACCAGAGCTTGGAGGTGACGAAGAGGTGTTGTCTGGAGGGGACGAGGCCAAGCTTAAGAGCTTCCTTAATGGCTTCGCCGAGGGCAGCCTCGGAGCCATAAACAGAGGCAGTATCAAAGTGTCTGTAACACTGTCTTATGGCTTCCACTAAGGCTTCCTTAGTGTCGGCCACCTTGCCGGTCAACTCTGGTGCACACCCCATCCCTATCACCGGCATCCTCACTTCCCCTGAGGAAGAAGAACCTAACACCACACAAGGAATCTCAGACACTGCCATGTTGAATTAGCTGCTAAACCCTAGAGCTCGTGAAGATGTATAGCAGAAATTTCTACGAAGGTAAGGGATAACTAGTTTTAGTAAAGTTTGTGCTGGGGGAGAGAGAGAGTGAATGAGAAAGTTTATAAGTTGAAAAACATTTGTTGGTTGATTCCTTGTAGGATATTCCTCATTTCCACCGATGCAATGCACCATTTTCTCTCCCGTACGTCATTATCTTTAGTTACATGAACCAGTTTTTTCAACGCTTAGAAATGTTTCGTGGCCGGCCAAAACAAGTCATCGGGGGAAATTAGAATGCTAGTTAGGTTTTGGAATTCCCAAAGGATTACGGCTCGTCAAAGTTGGAACTGATAGATGAGTTTAATTAATTAATGCCAGAAAGTAAGAGCCTTTAGCTTTTTTCATAAAGCTTTAATTTGAGGCTTCTACGACATTGTGGATACTCATTGAATCACCCATGCATCAATATGTATAATCAGAGAAAGTTCGTAATCATAGCTAGATTGGATCATTACTATAGACCGTTTGTCTTCTCTCACCAGGGAAATTAAAGAAGATATAACCTCGTCCTTCTTTCAAGTTATTTGTTTTATATATATATATATATATATATTAATATTACTAAATGGGTTAATATAATATTTGTTCCATTAAATTTGTCCTCATTTTGGTTTTAATTTCTCAAATTTCAAATTAAACCATAGGGCAAAATATATAGTCTATGTTTTTATTGGATTCTAGAGACTAATGTTTTAAATGAAAAGAAATTTAAAAGATTAAAACCTATGGTTTAAAATTTAAAAGATTAAAATCACAATAAGGATAAACTTAAAATATCAAAGTTTGTATTAACCCTATACGTATGTGTGTGTGTGTATATATATAGAGCTTTCCGTTCATGAAAAAAGAAGTAGAAAATTATACGGAATGGAATATGAGACAAAAAATTGCATTGTCGTGTCAAGATAGGAGCTCATCCTCCCATCATGACTATACGAGTTTCAACATGTAATGAGAGACTTTATGTGCACATCTACGTATTAATATTCTCAATGAATAATATATATCTAGAATGTGTATATGTGCACATGAGGCAGACTTTCTTCGGAATTAGTTTGGCTACTCGTAACGAGTATTATGATACTTATCATTGCGGGCAAAATTTACACCGTTCAAATATAATTTTAATAGTCTTGATTTAAAATTTTTACCTAATGATTTTTAATTAGAAAATTATTTTTTAAGAAACCTACAGTTAAGAAATTCCATTGTATTTATTTTAAAATAAAATTTTTTTTAAATTAAATCTTGACCATTCATATTAGATTTGAACAATTGAAATTTGATGAGTATTATAGTGTTGATCACCGAAACTGATTCCCACTTTCCCCACCCTTTTGGTTACATCACATACAAGAGACTTTGATAATTGATATACAAATGCAAGTTAGTCTATGAATGACGCGTGGAATAATTAATGAAGCTTTCACATTTCAACGAAGACAAAATTCCTCTCGTATATATATTTTGTACATTATAAAATTATTTTTTAAATTATAGTTTAGTTTCCATCCCAACACCCTTTTAAAAATAGGTATGCGTTTGGCCAATTTGTTAACAATATTTTTTTTTGTAAAAAAAAAGTTTAAGTAAGTTAGGTTTTAGGGGCTCGCTAAACATACTTTAATGCTTGAAGAGTGTTATATAGGTATTTCATATTGTCCACCAATAAGGTTCTCATATTGGTAGTAAGATTTTTCCTTTTTATAAGCAGTTATGAGTAAACAAGTCATATTGCTTGGGAGGCACATGATAATAAAAGAACTTGCATTTCTACGATCTAGTAATGAATGATGAACTTTTGACTTATCCGACGTAATTTCAAAATCGCACTATTTTATTTATTTAACGATGATGGTGTTATGGCGCACCTATTCATGTCAAAATTAAGTATAAACCAAAAGCTATGTTTATCTCGCAAGCTACTATCACAAGTTTTTTAATCAAAATATTAATTTTTATTATTGATTTAATCAAAATATAGATGTCTTGTTGTTAGGTGGGTGTATGTCGATCAAGATTTTGATAGATAATTAGATTATAGATTTCTCATCCCAACAAGCTTGGATATTTCAATAACAAGAACATTTAACTCAGTCAGTCAAAAACGGACTCCATGCTTTTCCCTTAAGCCTTGACCATATTGTAAAGTGTGACGAACTTTTTGATTTTTATTTATCTCCACAAGGAAGTTGCGCTGTAATTTCCAAGTCTATACATGCACCTCTCTCATATATGAATATATCATTTCAAGTTGACTATAAAAATATATACTCCTGCATTCGTTAATATAAGGTCTCTTTAACTAATTTGATTAGATTAAAAAAGTTAGGTAAGTTAGTTAATTATAAAAAATATAACATGTTTTTTTCTAAAGCACTATAATCATCTTTCTTAATATCCTTTCTGCCTCACTTACTTAATTATAATTGAGGGAGTATCTATAGGAGTAATTTAGGAAAAATTGATAAATATGAGAAATAGTTATTATATTTAAGATCAAAATTAACTTAACAATTAAATCTTATATTAAAAATCAGAGGAGTATATGAGTTTCATCACATCGTTAGCTCTCCGGCCAGTAATCAGAAGATCAAAAGCTGTAATCAAATTAACCGCGACTGATATTCAAAGTTTATTAATCCTTCATATCTCGATACATAACTGCAGTAATTAATAGAGCGAAAAAAAACACAGAGATCAAGACGAGACCATACTGAAGACAACTAATATATTAATGTTTTCATCTGTGGTTTATATTTCGTCATCGTAGAGATCTGGAAGCTGAGGCTTGGTTGGTCCCTGGATCAAACGTTGCTGCTTTATTTCACTCATTTTTTTATGATCATCTTGGGTCAACGACCAGTCAAAGATTTGAAGGTTTTGGCTCATCCTTTCTTTGTTGTAGCTCTTTGGCACGAAGGTCACGCCTTGCTCGTACAGCCATCTCAGACAAACCTGAGCGCTGGACTTGCCCCTCGCTTCTGCTATCTCTGTCACCACATCACCCTCCATGGCCTCGTTGGGTCCCCTGCTAGCTCCTTTCCTGAGCGGCGAGAACGCTGTCATCACTATCCCTTTTGATTTGCAGTAGTCCAGCAGCTTCTTCTGCTGCCATGCCAGGTTCATCTCCACCTGATTCACCGCCGGCGGAAGCGTGGCGAATGACAGCAGATCGTCGAGCTTCTTGACGGAGAAGTTGCTGACTCCGATGGCTCTGGTGAGTCCCAGCCTATGGCATTCTTCCATGGCCGCCCACACTCCCTCCAAATCCAAAGGAACCACATCTTCCTCCCCTATAGGGAACGCGAACTTGCCTGGCTTAGCAGAGATGGGCCAGTGAATCAGATACAGGTCCAAGTACTGCAGCTGAAGATTCCTGCACCACAACATATAGACATACATATAAACTAAGTCGTCCATTATTATTAGTGACCCTGAAACATATATGTCAAAGAAAGAAGTGAGACCTGAGAGAGTTCTGGAGAGCAGGAAGAACGAGGTGAGGATGATTGTTGGTGCACCAGAGCTTGGAGGTGACGAAGAGGTGTTGTCTGGAGGGGACGAGGCCGAGCTGAAGAGCCTCCTTAATGGCTTCTCCGAGGGCAGCCTCAGAGCCATAAGCAGCGGCGGTATCTAAGTGCCTGTAACCCTGCCTTATGGCTTCCACAATGGCTTCCTTCGTGTCGGCCTTGCAGGTGAAGTCCGGTGCAGACCCCATCCCGATCACCGGCATCTTCACTTCGCCGGCGGAAGAACCTAGCACCACTGAAGGAATCTCAAGCACGGCCATGTTTTGTCTGCTTAGAACCCTGAGGCTTGTGAAGATATTTAGCAGAAATATGTATGAGAGTGAATGAGAAAGTTTAGAGGATCATGTACTTTTTATAGTGTTCCATGCGTGCTGAGAAATTCTCAGGTGAACCAGGTATGGCAGGTAACTTATGGTCCGACGAATACAAAGACGACAAGTGCAGTTTATGGGTCTCTCCCTCCTGCTTTTTTTTACCGTTCACAACCCTTCTTTTTCCCATACGCTCCACTCTCTTCTCCTCGCCCAGCTCTCTCTCTGTTCAGCTTTCCTCACACGTCACACATCCTTCTTTCCCATTGTCTTCCCACTTGGTCATATGTGAGAAGGATGATCAAGATAAACTATTTAGGTACTTGTTTTATTTTTTAATTATTGGAGTTGTGTGGGGTAGGCCAAATTATTTTTTAAATACATACACATAAATACATGTATATTTCTCATATATATTAGATAATATATTATGTATAAGAATATTGAAATTATATGAGAGAATAAAATCATATATCTTATATATATTATTAACCTAAAAGAATAATAAAATTTTATTGAATATGTAATTTTTGAAATTTGTACCATTCATATGCCTTTGTATTATACATAGATTTATTTTTGATAAAGTTTAATATATTTATTATAAGTTCTTTTTATATATTATCTATATGGAATAATAGTTATAAACTACTAGCTCAAGTCCTAATTATAAGACCCAGTTGATTAATTTGAGGAGATTAAGGAAGTAAGTTAAGTTAGTTATTTGTAACAAATAAGTGTTGCCATTCCTAAAATATCCTTGCTAATTAAGTGTGTTGGTTAGAACTATCATTATTAGAAGGACTATCTTGAAAAAAAAAGTATAAATATGAGAGACAAAATGGATTGGGGTCTTATAATTAGAACCAAACTAAAAGTCAAACGGGGTCTTATATTAAGGACCGGAGGTAGTATTATAATTTTTTTCTCTACGCTTGCTGGGTCGAGTGTGGACCGGCGGTCTAATTTGAATAGCTTTATTGTTAGTGTTGGGCCCCCGGGGGGGGGGGGAGAACACTTGTTGGTTGTTGGGATTAAAACAAAACGAAGGGGGGAACAAAAACCCATGTTGGTTGATGCCATGTAGTAGGTAGGCAGGTAATTAAATTTTTAATTTTAAAAAATGGAGTAGCATCATTACTTTTGACTTGTAAGGTTTAGCCGACTCAGTTGGAACACCTCAATTTTTCTACTGAAAGAGCATGGTCACCGATGGAATGCGTCTTTCTGATTCTTCCGTCATTACATTTTCAGGAGTAATATTTTTATTATGGAACCAATTTTAGTACTTATTATCCTTTTCTATTCTTATTATTTTAATAAGTATTTTAAACTCATCAGATCTGATCACCTATGTCTCATTTAGATGGTACATATTTATTTTTTATTTATTCAAAATAATTATTTAGTTATATATAGAATTTAAAATAAAGATAATATCTTAACTATTATTCTCTCTAAAAATATTTTTTTATTTAAAAATAATTAATTAAAGATTTTAAATTTAGATTGTTCAAATTTGATATATACGGTTTAGATCTGATGAGTTTAAAATACTTATGAAGATGATCAGCACTGAAATTAGTTTAGAAAACAAGTCATAACTGAAATTAGAATTAATGCTAATTAAGTTTGGGAATTATTCCCAAAGATTAAGGATTAAGGCTATTGTATAATTGGAACTGATGAGATTAATTGATTAATTAACTGGAAGAAAGTAAAAGTCTTTAGCTTTATAAAGCTTTGAGTGAGAGGCTCATACTTTGTGAATATAATACTCACTGAATCACCCACTTATAAGATATGACATCGTCCTTCTTTTATATATATATATATATATATATATATATATATATATATATTTTCAGGTGCGTAAATTTTAAAATAACTAATTAAAACACAGTTTGCTTTATTATTATCAATATGTAATGATGATTGAAAATGAACGGAATAAGTTTGGGTGCTTTTGATGAGCACTTTAAACTTATCGGATTATTTAGATTAATTGTTTTATTTTTAATAAGTATAAAATAAAAAAATAACATTAATTTTTCAAGTGTCATTTTCTAAAAATAATTATTTAGAATTATTAAATTTAGAATCTTCGGGTTTAATTTGAACCGTGAAGACTGCTCATATTGCTCATCCATGACTCCCGCCGGTCGAAAATGAAGTTCGATCTAATTTGATTTTTTCTCGCGCGCACGCATATTTTATATATATATATATATGATATTTTCTGTGCACGGCTGGCGACACGTCAACATTCAAAGGATGGTTCAAACATAGAGAGGGATACGTAGAATCATTTCAAAAATATGATGAAAGATTTTCTGACAATTTTTAACAGCACCCTAAAATATTTTCGATGTGTTTAATATGTTGAAATTTTATTTTTTTTAGTGCTTTTGATATTTTGAAATATTTTTTGATATATCTAATACCGTTAAATATTTTTTTAAGTATATTTAATATCTTGAAATTTTTTTTATACGTTAAAGTGTTGGATATATTTAAAAAATATTTTAAAATATTAGATACGTTACAAAATATTATCAACATTTAGCAGAGCGGAGTAGCTGAGCATGAGTAGTTCATTTTTTCCCCCCACAGCACAAATGCGACTACAAACTTTTCGTCTTTAACACGTACGTAATTTTCCGTCCTTTTCAGGATTAACATACTCTTTGAAAAAATATTTTGAACTCGCAGTTCTGAACAGCAATTGTTTTTTTAAAATATTTTTAATATTGAGGATGGAGTTTAAAATATGAAAGTGTCTTTCTTTAACGTGGTGCTGGTTTCTTGTGTGTGTGTCCAAGCCAATTATTTTTAATATTCTGATGTGAAGTGTTTTAAAATAAAGACTTTGAAAAATATTCTTATAAATTTAATATTTTTTTAATTAATCTATTCGAATCAAACTAATTAAATTAATTAGACTGTTATAAAATGACTCTCAAGAAATCATAATTTTTTTGTATTTTTAATTAGTAAGATCGATTCCAATCAATTTTTTTTTTTGCTAAACAACTTATTAATATTAGCTGGTAAATTTCTGAGCTTCTAGAGAAAAGTAACTTTCATTAACCCAAAACAAAGTTATTGATATCATTAGAGAAGAAAAACTTAATTCAATAGAATATGCCCATATAAATTATAAATTATTTATCTTATATCTTTTAATATAGTAATAAATGTACACAAACGTTGAAGGTTCATAAAGCTTGATGTAATATATAGACCTTAATTAGATTTCATATTTGATTTGTCAAAGTTATATATTCAAAAGCAAGCTAGTTAGTAAGCGTTTGTATTGGATCTTAATTATACGCGTGCACCAAATTCTCTTCATTTGACTACAGCTGAATACAAGATAATATACACTATTAAATTATTTTAAAAAAAGACCTTGGGCCACATTTGACACAAAAATTGTTTGGACATAAAAATATAAAAGTAAATAATCAAGATACCAATAGGGCTCCTTGATACCAAATGTTTTGTTTTTTCCAAAAAGATAATACTACCTCCAGCCATAATTATAAGAGTTAGTTGACTAATTTGAGTAGATTAAAAAAATAAGTTAAGTTAGTTATTCGTAATAAATAGATATTGTCTTTCTTACAAAATCCTCGCTAATCAAATGTATTTGCTAGAATTACCATTGTTAAAAGGATTGCCTTAGAAAAAAAATGTATAAATATGAGAGACAAAGTGGATTGAGATCTTATATTTTGGACCAAAGTAAAAGTCAAAGAAGATCTTATATTAAGGATTGGAGGTAGTATTAAAATTTGAACCTTCTATCCCATATACACCAAAATTTATCTAGAGGTTGATATATGTGGAGGCTATGGGAATGTGCATAACATTTTTTTAATTTAATTTGTAACAAAGAGTTTGAGTAATTTGGGATTTAAACTTATCAAAACATAATTAAACCGAATGCATCAAAAATATAAAGTACAATCTCATCTATCCGTTTAAAACTCTTAATCAGATTACTTAGAAAACTGATTCATCAATTTACTGACCTAATCAGTTAACCCGAATTGAGTTTTAACGTCATCATATAAATCAGTACTAATCAAACTAGCGGGTTGGTAGTGAAAGTGTTTTGCTTTTCACGTGTGAAACCGGCGAGTTCAAATAAATGACTGATGAAGTTAGGGATAAGTTTGACCTATGGCTTTATAGATAAACGAAATGAAATCTTTATATCGTTTGAATATTCCATATTTTGTTATATTTATACATGTAACAAAATTTTACCAAGTCATTTACAGACTAAGAAAAAGTATGATTAACTAAGAGTTTTCTTTGTTTTTGGCCAAAAAGATTCACTAAAAGTTTTCATCAGCTACTTTTATCGCCACTGATTTTTAGTTTCTTTCGTGTTTATGAGATTCTTCGACTTGGACAAAGGCTCCACCAATGTTCTGGTAATAACCTTGTAAATAACGTTTAAGTTTTCTTATAACTTTACTATGCTTCCAATTTAATGAAATTGGGGTCTTATCTATTTAAACATGAGATTGCAAATCTAATCTTGAATGCTTACAATAAGTAATTGAATTCCTTTAGATGGATGAAAAATGACCAAAAAAAAAAACATAAAATTATTGTCTTTAATAAAACATTCTTTTGGTGGGCGTATGTGCACGTGTTTAAAATTCTCTGATTAGGCATTTTTTTTTTATAATCCAAAGTATCCTTAAGTCACTTTTCGACTTAAGACTAATTTTTATCGGGCTAGAAGTTTCAAAGTTTAAACCCTCCCAACAAGTATGCTTTCCTGAATTTGAATTTTTGTTCTCTTCCTTACAAAAATAAGATCACTTACCATCTCAACTAACAGCTTCTTGTTGGGCCAGTCATCTTCAATATGTTTATCGGCTTCCATATGTTGTTTAAAGCAATATAAGAAATGTTTTAACTTTAAAATTAAAACAATTTAATTTTTTTATTTTATTCGGGATGTTGGCCTGTTGCATATAAATAGAAAAGTTATGAAGAAAGTCAATATTGTGGGGGCATTGATAAACAATACTCCTTTATTTCTTAATATAAGACTTATTAACTAATTTGAATAGATTAAGAATGTTAATTAAATTAGTTCATATAATATATATTTTTTCTAAAACATCCTAAGCATTTTTTTTAATTTTCTCTTTTACTTGATTATTGTTGAAGAAATATCAATAAGATTAATTTAGAGAAAAAAATTGATAAATATATGAAATAGGTCTTACATATCAATATTAAATTACTAGTTGGGTCCTATATTAAGGACTAGAGGAGTAGTAATATTTGGCCAAAAAGAAACGATAAATAATAGTTATATACTTATTTAAATATTGCATTATAAAAATATTCATCTAATCATGAGAATTCGCCGTTTGCTGAAAAGTCGATCACTTGCACAAATGTCAATTCGGGAGTAGGCTTTCTCTGTAGGTTTGCCAGAATTCGAATGATTCAATTATTTTAGAAGAGAATTATAATGAGATTCTAAATAAAAAAAATAATTAAAAAATAAGTCTCAGAAGTTATCATTCTCACTATAGGACTTGTCACTATAGACTGTTGAGTTTGTTATTGAGACCTTTTAGTAATTATTTTTCTTCTGTGAGATTTGATTGTAATTTCCTCTTATTTTATTGTTTAATGTTTGATATATATTTAACTTGAGTAAATTACACAGCTTTAAAGATAAAAACAAGCTAAGTGGATCGGGAGCTTAAAATAATTAGGGTTTGTTGGATTTCCATGCATAATAGAATGCATTCAAACTCCTAAGTCTTATTCGGATGGTCAACACATTAGTTTTATAAGAAAGAAAAATTATATGTATATGTATATTTATATAGTATGCACTCATCAAGCATATAATGATCCTATACAAGAAAGGATTGACGTGGTTACTTTTAAAATAGAATAGTATAACTTTACTAAAAAATGGTTCTAAGATGGATAAAAAGACCATTTAAGGTGCTGGTAAGAGAAGAGTATAGGAAGATTGAAAATAATAAGCAGTGAAGTTATTAAGTGGAACCTTTTAATTGATTAATTTATCCAAAAAATTATTTATTAATAAAATACAATAATATTCGTGTAATTTATATAACCGATTCTTGACATTAAAATGTCACCATCATCTAGCCTTCTCACAGCACAATCTTTAATTTTAACTTTAGTATACATGATTAACGTTTCCCAAAAAAAAGTAATAACTTTATATCGTAGTCTTGTTTCTTTATAGCTGCCGGCTGCCAGACGGGACAGAGACTATATAAGAAGGACAAGTCTTTATCTTACAAGTGGCTCCACCATAAATTTTTTAAAGAAATTAAAGCCTCTTTGTATTCTTCTAAGTAATTAACATATGTTTGGTAAAGTAATAGGTTCGGTACACAATTTCAATTTTTTTTTGACCAGAAACACAATTTCCAATTTAGTCACATAAGATATTAAGTACAATGATATGATATCATAACATCTTTAGGTCATTTCATTTAGAATATAGTTCTGTTGGAGTATTTAAAAATAATAAATCATGCTTGTTGAGTTGTTACATTTGTTGCTCTCTTTATACTAAACTAAATGTAAATTGAGAAATTTATTTTGATATTAAATATAAAATCTCAAACTAATTTGTCTCATATGCAAATTTATAATTTTTTGCAAATAATATCATTTTAATTGTACGCTCATATATATGCTAAATAGGGTTTTATCAATGAGCCAATGTAAATGATCAAAGAGATATTTTAGAAAATTTAATATATATTTGTTACATATAATTAATTAAACTAATTTTTTAATTTCTGTAAATTAGTTATTTAAATTTTACATTTAAAAATTTACTGAGTATATTAGCTCATAGCTAATTCCTATGGGTCTTTGAAAATTAAGAAATTAAAGTTGGGTCTTCACTTCATGAATGGAGATTAATTAAGTATTCATCAACTAATGTGTCCCTTTCAAGGATGCTTGGTGATTTATTGTCATTGTAATGCCTTTATGCACCTGTTATCATGCTAATAATTAATATAATTCTTATTTTCATTTCATTTTGTGGTTGTTAACATTATTATATACATAGTCCAAATTCAGACGGCGGCAGAGATATGATTATAATAGATCTGATAAATTAGATTAGGTGGATGAACTTTTTATAGAGCAAAAGACATTGAAATTTGAAACATACAAGATAAATAATTTTTTTCTTTGAAATTTTTTAATATTTAACAGACAATTCTGTTTTATCCTTCTGTGATGATCATATAAATATACACTAAATTTTATTTATAAAAAATAAAAAACTATGTACAATATAATGCATGCAACTGTTTTTTTTTTAAAAGCTATATTCTACTTTATTTAAGGAAAAATCTCAGAAAATACCACTTGAATTTCAAAATCACAAATCAAGAATTTCTACAAAATATGTTTATTTACTTTTTCAAGTGTAGCAACTTGTTATTAAAAATAGGGAACAAAACTGATTTGAGATTTTAAAATTCAAATGATTTATTTTTGAAATTTTCCCTTTATTTAATCACTCTAAGGGTGACGAGAGAAATAATTGTCCCTGAATGTACTCATCTAATTCTTTTTTCAATCATATTATTTACAGATCATTATATAAATCAATAAGATATACTTTATCTAGATTAAAAATAATATGCTTAGGCATGTGGACCCGGCTTCAACTTCGAATAATTTTTATGATAAGTGGTTAATTTTTGAAGAATTCCATAATATAAAATTTCATTCTAATACATTGAAAAGATATATATATATATTATATAAATGTGTCTGGTTTAGTTTTTTGTATAGGCTGCATATGCCTTGAAGAAACATGATAATATCATTGTTATGACCATATACATTGAATATATATCCCCTCGGGTTTTAAATACAAGACATATTTCATAGTATAATTATACTATAAAATAGGTTTTATATTTAGGATTGGATAGAGTATATAATATTTAAAAGGTATGGGATGCGACGAAATACTAGTTCTAGATATACTTAAAAAAACTGAAATGAAGAGACCAATCATAAAAAGAAATTATATGAGAAAGATGCAGCAGGGATCAGGGGAACGGAAGAAATTAGGTGCATGCTACTCTTAGTGGAAAATTTGAAGTAATCCATTCTTTATTATTGAATAATCTAAAGTGCGCGCGCACCAGTCAAGAAAGGAGTGCTAAGCATAATATTAATGGCCACCTACTTCCAATGAAAGAGGAAACGCAGAAAAATAACAAACTTTTCAAACATGAACAGTATCCCACAGCACTCCACCATCTCAAAAAGCTCACCTATAAAGACGACATGTTCCTCAATACTTTCTCATTCACTCGCGCCACAACCAAAAACCTTATCAGCTAGCTATCCCTTGCCTTCATACATATTTCTGCTATATAACTTCACGAGCTTTAAGGTTCTTAGTAGCTAAACATGGCCGTGCCTGAGATTCCTTCAGTGGTGCTCCGTTCTTCCACCGGCGAAGTGAAGATGCCGGTGATCGGGATGGGGTCTGCGCCAGACTTCACCTGCAAGGCCGACACCAAGGAAGCCATTGTGGAAGCCATAAGGCAGGGTTACAGGCACTTAGACACCGCCGCCGCCTATGGCTCTGAGGCTGCCCTCGGAGAAGCCATTAAGGAGGCTCTTCAGCTCGGCCTCGTCCCATCCAGACAACACCTCTTCGTCACCTCCAAGCTCTGGTGCACCAACAATCATCCTCACCTCGTTCTTCCTGCTCTCCAGAACTCTCTCAGGTCTCACTTCTTTCTTTGACATACATGTTTCAGGGTCACGAATAATAACGGAGGACTTAGTTTGTATGTATGTGTATATGTTGTGGTGCAGGAATCTTCAGCTGGAGTACTTGGACCTGTATCTGATTCACTGGCCCATCTCTGCTAAGCCAGGCAAGTTCGCGTTCCCCATAGAGGCGGAAGATGTGGTTCCTTTGGACTTGAAGGGAGTGTGGACGGCCATGGAAGAATGCCAGAGGCTGGGCCTCACCAGAGCCATCGGAGTCAGCAACTTCTCCGTCAAGAAGCTCGACCATCTGCTGTCATTCGCCACCGTTCCGCCGGCGGTGAATCAGGTGGAGATGAACCTGGCATGGCAGCAGAAGAAGCTGCTGGACTTCTGCAAATCAAAAGGGATAGTGATCACAGCGTTCTCGCCGCTGAGGAAAGGAGCGAGCAGGGGACCCAACGAGGCCATGGAGAGTGATGTGGTGAAGGAGATAGCAGAAGCGAGGGACAAGTCAAGCGCTCAGGTTTGTCTGAGATGGCTCTACGAGCAAGGCGTGACCTTCGTGCCAAAGAGCTACAACAAGGACAGGATGAACCAAAACCTGCAAATCTTTGAGTGGTCATTGACTGAAGATGATCATAAAAAGATGAGTGAAATAAAGCAGCAACGTTTGATCCAGGGACCCACCAAGCCTCCGCTTCCAGATCTGTACGATGACGAAATATAAACCATAGATGATATTTGATTGATTAGGGTGTCATCGATTCTGCAGAACACAAAAATAAAAGCCTCCCCTTTAGTCTATTCGGTTAATGGATTCTTTATTTCTGGGTGGTGTGCGTAATTGTTCGGTTTATCCCTTGTCATGCTTATTTTGAGCTGTGTTGTTTTGGAAGTCGGAGATATGGATAGTAGACTATGAATATATTACCTAAAGTTTATTTATCTCTCCTCACAGTGATAATATTAGAAGCAGAAGAAGCAAATAAACGATAATCACTAGCTTCTGTGAATATCTATGGCAAAAGCTCAGTATCGTGACACTTGAAGTCATTAAACATGAGAGTACTCACAACCATAAGTTCAGTGAAGGTTTCCTTAGTCCTGACCTGTGAATGTGCACAAACAAAGAAATACTACCTGCTTCGGTGTTAACTATAAGAACTAATTGGTGGTACTAAATATAAGACCCTAATCTATTTTATCTCTCAAATTTATAATGTGTTTTAAAAAATATCTCTATTATTGTAATATATTTTCAGCCAAATGTGTTTCAATGTTCATGATTAAATAAGGGTTATTTAAGAAATTCAACACATATTTGTTATAAATAATTAACTTAACTAAGTTAATTAATTTTTCAAAATTAGTTATCTAGTTCTCGTATCAAAGGCTGGAGGTAGTATATATAGAATGCTTTGCAAATCCATGATATAAATAAGGATGTCATTTATCATCCCCGGAGTACCTCTAATCACCAGTGATTCCTTGGAGTTTTCAGTCCGTGTTTGCATCTGCCATTTGCGTTCATCAAAAAACAGAGGACTCAATGACTTGACCAGAACAGGATCAAAACAGAGAAAATAAAAGGGCTTATTGAAATTGCATACCTTTTTGGAAAAACGACCCTCAATTAATTACGGACTGATACCATAGCTCATGCTTTCAAAATTTAACATCATGTTTTATAATTTCTTTCCTCGATATGACAAGTGAGTTTCGTGTGTGTGTGTTACTTCCCCTGTATAACAACTCCAAAAAGCTTTAGAGAATGAGTTATACCTGTAGCATGTAGGTAGTACTGATGGTAACCTCGATGACAACACATGTTTCTAATTTCTTCACTATCGGTGACACGAATCTAAATACGTCCTCGTCAAAAGTCTCAATTACAAACTTCACAATCTAAAAATTTGAGCACATACAAGCTAAATCAACATAACGATACTTGATCGAGAAGGATGAGTTTGATATGTCATTACTGTTATTTTATATTTTCTTGCTTCAAACTTTAATCCAACAAAATTATACCAAACCGCACCATTACAGATTTACAGTTGCTTTAAAATTAAACATTAGTCAAGAGAAATCCAGACCCTTGGAATATTGATGGGCAACACCAGGCGATCTGTCACAAAAACTCGTGATATTTTCTCCAGTTTTAACGAGTCAATAAACAAGAGAGTACTCACAAGTCACAACCACAAGTTCAATGCACAAAAATATATACCACTAGCAATTTTTGTGCTTTGGCTTTTTGTAGATAGAATGATAATAAAGATAGATTACTCCAATGAAATATGTGGCACCATCATCCACTAATACACATTTTGCTAAGGATATCTAGGTTCCATTACATCACAGTAAACAAACCTACTTTTCTTTTTCATCTTTCACGTTTTTAAGGCGCTCTTCATCGCAACTTTCAACAAAATATTCTTCATCGCTGGTATAGCAACTCTCAACAAAATATTCTTCTTCATCACTGTCATCCCCACCTTCATAATAATACTCTTCACCATCATTTGCAAAACAAAACTCCTCTCCATAGTCATCATAATAACACTCTTCACACTCCTCATTATCACTTTTCCCATTTTGTTGCAGAAGTGAACAGTCTCGTGGTTGCTGACCGCTTAACCTCTCTTGAATTTGATCCCTGATTGCTGTGCCCTGGCATGGACCCGAGTCATAGCAGAAAATAAGAAAAAGAAAAAGTTGTGAGAAGTTACCTTTGAGTCTGCAAGCATATCAATAGTAACATAACATACTTTAATTTGTCTGCATAAATTAACTCACCATCTTGTAGCAACCTTCTTCAAACCTCTCCAGAAATCCAGCAACCCAGCGATCAGCATTTTCCAGCCACTCATATCTATGCATAGTAGCAGTCTTCGCAACACTTTGAATCTGGAAAATATAGCAGCAAATACAGATTCCTATAACGTTCAATTTCCAAGACAACTATAGGTAACAAACCAGAGTTCTCTGTTTTTCAGTAATCTTTATCACATGCACACGTAAGATTCTTTACTTATTGTCTTTCATCTCACAATCTTGCCATCTCATTAATTTCACATGGCTTTAAAGTATTATTTCAACTTAGTTAATCTGACATTATGGGTTAATGACTTGAGTTGATATACCTTTTCACCAACTTTCTCTTGCTGTTCCTTTACTTTCTCTTGAAGGTTCTTAAGCCTCCTATTCACCCTTAATCGCTTTTCCTGTTAATATGAACGCAAGCACAACAAGTAAAATCCTCCAACAGATGTGAGAATGGTGTAAATGAAAACAATTATTCTTTTACCAGACAAGTACAATCAATTCATTTATACAAAATAAGGATTTGAAAAAAATATGCCAGCTCATACCTTCACATAGCTCACACCGAGGTCCTTCCTCGAGTACCCACGATCTAAGTTACGCAAAACATAGTTGTTATAATCTTTGACAATCCTCATTATAATGTCTGACGTAGACACCCCTTCTGTTCGTTTTGTTTCCTTAAATTTCCCGATGGATTTAACCTGCAAACAAAAATTGATTCACATAAATTATACCTGAAAAGAGAAACTTCCATCAAAATAAACAACCAAGGCTGATAGAACATTTTCTTGCACATACATATTCATAAACATCGTTCCCAGCCCCACTGGCATCAGCATAGCTGTGAACAATTCATCGGCAAGTGCAAAAGATTATACTATGCATTCAAAAGCTTCAACCATTACTCCACCAATGCAAATACAGAGTTAAATATTATCATCATTACAAATCCAATAAACACGTACGAACTAGAGAGAAACGGACAGGGAATTTTCTTACGGAAGAGCATCATGAGCCACATAGTCGATCTTGTGCTTGTCAATAAATTCTTGTGTCATAACCCATGGTGCATCTGGAATGACTTCATCCACCCACCTGCTCAAATTTATTTCTCATTGTTATGGTAAGTCGCAAAGAGCTGTTTATTTACCCAAAAGAAAGAAAGAAAGAAAGAGTTGACATAAGTATCTCACTTGCAGTGCCGAAGCGATTCATAACGTTCAGCCTCTGTCATAACAGTTTTGCCCTTGTATTTGTTGGTGACTTCATCGTTGCAACATCCAACAAGCAAGTAGGTATTCGGAAATCTAAAATTTCCGTGAAAAGGCCAGAGAGTTAGCCAAACAATATGAAGATACAATTTCATGATTCCACGCTTATATTTCATTGCAAAAGCACGAACTGACATCTAAAGAGGAAAAGAACGTACTTTAGGACAGCGATTTAACTAATTTTTCAGAACTTTAGAGAAAATGTCCCCTTTCTCAGAAGCACACTTAAACTTTCTCAGGTCATCTAAATAGATATGCTATTAGTACTGCATCCGTTCACATCTAATTTGATTATATTGTTTTGGACTTGCGCTCTGAATACCGTCAATATCATTTTAATTTTAAACAATCACATGGAAAAATTCAACATTAACTTTCTCACGATGGAAACGTCAATAGTTGCGCACTCATCACTTAGGTTACGTGTCTGGGTCAACCTGCAGGTTGAGTGACCAATATCCAAAAATAAATAGCAGATTACATTTGTTATTGTCAATAGTTAATACAGGCCAAGAAAAAAAGGATGACAAACATAGCATTCACTTAGTGAGTTTAGCTCTGTATTTGTATTTTATGTAATCTTAATGCAGGACAATAGGCTAGCTAATGCAAGGAAGGAAGAAAAGGCAGTGCGACTCGCTCCTTGTGCAAATACATGAATCTCAAAAGATCGACAATGTATGATGCATCGCGTTTCATTTCCGCATCAGTGCTAAATGAGTCTAATTAATGTCAAAACCTAATTTGTGAAAAGTAAAATCGAAAAGGACGAAGATAGATGCGTACGATATCTTGGCTTGCTCGAGGGAACGAGCATGGCCGAAGTGGAAAAGGTCGTAGATGCCATCGGCGTAGACGCGAACGGGACGGTCTTGAGGAGGAGAAGACGATGGATTGGAATCGCTAGGCTTCTCGGTCGCCATTTCGAATCACGCAACCTCTGATCTCATTCTTGCGCGTCTCCAGCGGCATGCTCTTGTTAAACGATTTATTTAGCATCCTTCTTCTTCCGCCACAAGCCCTTAGCAAGTGTCGTCGTTTGAACCGCTCAAATATGCTGCTGGCAGCTCGTTTTTCTTCTCAAATACTCCTCCGATCCTTATTATAGACCCCATTTGACTTTTATTTGGTCCTAATTATAAGACCCCAATCCATTTTATTACTTATATTTATGCATTTTTTTCTAAGATGATCATTCTAATAATGATAGTTTTAGCCAATATACTTAATTAGCAAGGATATTTTAGGAATGACAACTCTTATTTATTATAAAAAACCAACTTAATTTACTTCCTTAATCTCCTCAAATAAGTCAATTGGGTCTTATAATTAGGACCGGAGGAATAGTTTTTTTTTTTTTTTTAAATGGCAGTTCACAAATATACTACTTTCTTATTTATTTTCTTCTTACTGTTGGTTTATCCCTCAAATTTATTTAATTTAAATCAAATTTACTTTATCCTTCAAATTATTTAATTTAAATCAAATTTAGTCTTTTAATATTATATAAATTTAATTTTTGCTTTCAAGCTCTCAGTTTAAAAAATATTGAAATATTCTGTTCGGTTGTGTGCGTTTTTAATTTGAAATATATATATATATATATATATATATTTATATATGCGTTTGTTTTTCAAAACAAATCATTCACATGCATGCATGCATCCAACTGTACGAAGTCGTCCTTCTCCTTCACGCGGAGAGTATTTCCCTGACACTCGCATAGTCGCATTTTCTTTCTTTCACTCTCTGAAGTCTCAATAAATTCACAGATACAGAGTGAGGAAGAGACTGTGTGTGGGAATTGTTCTGTGATTGTGAGTGGATTAAGAAGAAGGTGGATCAACATGTACAAGACGAAGCTGCAGGAGCTCTGCCACCAGAAACGGTGGGGCTTGCCCAGGTACACCGCCATGAAAGACGGTCCTGATCACATCCCAAGCTTCAAAGCTTCAGTCTCTGTCAATGGCCTCACCTTTGACTCTCCCGGACCCTGTTCTTCTTCCAAACTTGCTCAAAACAAAGCCGCCATGCTCGCTTTCCTCCATTTCACTTCTTCTGATCCTACGGGTACCCCCTTTATGTTCTGCCTTTTAGTCAAATGCTCTTCCTTAACACAATTTTAATCTTGCTCTGTTCGTGTGTTTAATTGTATCACTGACATGAAGGCACTAACTTTTGAGGTCTCTCTTCAACATCTACATATAATTACGCATATAATTAATTACATTCCCGTACAACCTGCAGGAACAGGTTGTTGGCTCTTGATCATCTTATTCAGAATATATTCTAGATCGATCTTTCAAATTTTTGTCATGTCTGCTTTAACCCCCCTGTTTCTAAGTGATTGTTCTCCGTGTCAACATTTATTTCTGTTTAACAATCTAATTATGCTTACAGATTCTAATCAACTGAGTAAAACCCAGTTGCAGAACTATGATCAAAGGAAAAGTTTTGATTCGGCTGCTTTTACTATTGAACGTGGAGGCCTCCCTCAGGTTCCTTGCATGAAGGTTCCAAGCTCAGTTGATGGCCAATGTTCTGAGAGGCCAGCAACTTTCAGCACTTCGCAGGAGGCAGAGCAGGCTGCTGCGAAGGTTGCTTCGATGTCACTGTCACTTGACAGCCCCAAGAAGCTAAGAATGCTTGTAGTTTATGCAATGGCTCCTATTAAAATCCTTCTTGATGCTTTGTGAACATCAAATAGTTATCTAGATGTAAGATGTTAGGAACAATTTCTTCACTTTTTGGAGGGCTTAAAAATATTAAAAAATAAGAGCCAAATTTGACAAAAAGTTTTTGATGAAATTTCAATACCTTAAATTAAAATTTTTTTTACTATTTCTAGTACAAATAAAGCATATCTCAAGGGTAAAACAGAAAGGCCTAAATAGGAACTAGACGTAGGACCATATCTTGTTCTTAAAAAAAGTCTGTGTACACCAAGATTTTTTCTGTTTAGAAGTTTAAGCTTATGTTCTCTCTTAATTGATTAATTATGATCCATTGTAAAGAAAAAGTTCGATTCCAAACATGTTCTGTATATGGTTAACTCATTTACCAGCAGTAATAATAGACAAAGGTCCAAGAAGTTTGAGTGTTTGATCTGTATATGTCAAATGCATTATGAATGAATCTTGATTTGCATCTTTATCCAGGGTGACTCTGCTCTCTACAAGAATTTACTGCAGGAGTTAGCTCAGAGGGAAGGCTTTTGCAAACCAACGTATAAAACCATGAGATCTGGTACAGTTCACATGCCAACTTTCTTTTCTATTGTGGAGGTAGAAGGAAAGGAATTTCATGGGGAGCCAATGAAATCCAAGAGACAGGCAGAACAGGACGCAGCGAAGGTTGCTTTCATTGCTCTGAAAGAGTGTAAGTTGATTATACTTAATGGTTGGCATGTTTAGTTTCAGACTAAGGCATAAGAACCCTTTTGAGATCTGATGTTCAAAATCACCATAGGATTGGCTTGATCCCTATCTTCATGGACTTGAATTAAGTGCCTTCTCTTTCTCTTTAAATTATAATTACTTCTTTTTCCAGTCAATAGAAACAGTATAATTGCTTTTTATAAGTGATTTGGCATGTGCTGTGTTCTCTTGTACATAAATACCAAATTATTCAGCAGCATAATAGCAGAGATGCTAGAATTTCACGACTCCAACTTCCAGTTCTTGTATGAAGATTGTGGATTCTGAGGTTAGATCATTGGATCTATACTAATAAAGACATTTGATCCTGGTAGATGCTATCCTGTAGTAGTTCCTAGGTAGAATTAAGATTTCTTATTTCAGTTGCCTTAGGGCTATAGGATGGAGAAATAGATACCCCTTATCAGACATTCGGGGAGCTTGTGCTCCTTCTTTCATTTCCCTTCCAGTTTCACGTCACCAACCACTTATATATTTATGGCATATTTTTCTCAGCGGATAAGGCTCAAGAGAAGGACATGGATATGGTGGATGAGATTGAGATGCTACCCAATATTGTTAAAGTCGACAATGAGATTTCCAGCCCATCATCTCTACAGCATTCTGAGGGAGACATGATGAAGACCATAAAGAGCTTACAATCTTCTGAAGTAGTGCATGAATCCTCAGCCAAAGAGTGTCCTTCTTCCCCAGAATCCTCACGGCTTGACCTCTCTGCCCATTCAGTTTCAGAGCTGAACAAGGCAAAGACTCCTGAGGCAAGCAGTTATCTGCTTCATGACAGAATCAGGGTTTATACAAGCTTCCCAGATCATTCATTCCCTGAGGGAATAACTGTTCTGCCTATTAGGGAGAACAGGTGGGTTGCAGTGAGTCTGGAATTCCCAAATGAGAAACATAACTGATGAATGATCACAAGAGCTCTTTATGCGGACATGTTCTACTCAGCCAGTGGTTTGTGGATTAGAATCTCCAGAACTTATGCAGTTGGCTTTTTAGCTCTTTCTATTTTTACAGAGGTTTCTTAAGCATATGAAATACATGAATTTACTGTGATGTTTGAGAATCCCGTTTGGCCGTAATAGTGCCTTTCGCCATAATAGTGGTGTCAGCTATCCCTGAGGACAACTATTAAAGACTTTAAAGCGTTTTACCATATATAGATATTTGTTGGTAAAGAATTTAGGAGTTATTTTCGCAATGTATTGCCTTTGGTCATACTGAATACAGATCATGCTCGTGAAACTTCATAATAAATTTGGTGTGTTGGTATCAAGGGGATCAAATCAATCATTAAAAAAAAAAAAAACGTAGAAATGTGCTTGTCACATTTGGGATGTGATCCATCAGCAAACCCAACAGACCTAGCAATGCGAGGCCATTTCCATTCAAAGTGACAGAGAACCTAAATGCTCTCTTCTTCTGATATATATGTGGATGTGTGGGCTGTTGAAGGCAAAAATAGGAAATTGATAGAGCTTTGCTCATGGAGTTTTCTCCCTTCTGCCAAAAAGTGAGTCCATTTAATAGGAGTTATCCTGATTCTAGTCTCACGTGTCAGGACATAAACTGGGCCTTCATCCTAATTGCCCATCTCCCATATATAATGATGCTGGGTACATTTTACTGGAAAATTCTTGATACTTTTATCCATTTAGTCTCTCATATTTATTATTTTTTCTCAAACTAATTTATCTAACTTACAAAATTGATATCATCTAATGTTATACAAGAAGTATTTTAGAAAAATCATGTTATCTTAATCGATATATATTTGACTTTCTTAATTTACTCAAATTAATTAAGTAACTCTTATTCTAAAGATCAGAGAGCATATTTTTGTATTGTGAAGTGAGTAAATTTAAACTGATACACAAATTGATGACCTTTTTTTTTTTAACCCGCATCAAGTAAGATGTTAAAATAGTAAATCAAGGAAATGTGACAAGAGGAATAGGCCATATTTTACATAACATGGAGTTACAAATTTGGGGAAAAGAAGTACAGCTGAGCGCCTGAGCTAAGTTTCAACTGTCAAAAGTCTTTATTTTTGAATAATTAAAACTTTTTAATCATCTTATTTATTTTACTGGATTTATTCATTTCTTGTGTGCCCTATGCATTTGGCTGTGTGTATGCTGCAAATGAAATACATAAGCGTGATCAGGAAGCTGTTCACAACTCTTGTTCTTCTTCTGATCCTTCGAGAGATGGTTTGAGTGCATTCTTAAGGTATAGCACAAATGCCACAACCAACAATACAACCAGTAGGTTCATCAAATACTTCATTTTCTTCAACCTTGCCACAAAATCACCAAGAGCTTCCCTATATTTATAAGAATCCTTCTGTTCATCAGCAGGTAATGGTGGCCTTAAACTGAGAGTGAAATCTAGAAGATGAGTCTGAAATCTCGAAAATTTCTTGGTTCTTTGCTTTCCATCAGGAGCTTCTGTTACTGCTTCTGCTGCTGCAGGAGGTTCCTTCTCTTTCTGTTTGGCTGCTGGTATTTTCCCGGAAACTTCATCTGCACTCTTTGCTTTTGCTTGATCCTCTTGGTGAACAGCTTTTTTCTCACCATCAACCCCATTTTTTATTTTCCCCTTTTCCTTTGTAAAATCATCACTTGCAGCTGCAGGTTCCTTTTCTTTCTTGTTGGTTTTCCCAGAATCTTCTTCATCACCACTCTTGGCTTTTTCTTGATCCTCTTGATGAACAGCGTCTTTCTCACTAACCCCACCATCAGTTTTTCCCGTTTCCTTTGTAAGATCATCTCCGCTTGCAGCTGATTCCAGATCCTCTTCTGGGGATTCGTCAGAGACTTGATCACCATCACTCGTTGGCTTTGCTTGATCCTCACCATTTTTCTCAGCATCGCCATTATCTCTTTCTGGGGACTTGGCAGATGGAGTTTTGAGTTTGGAAAACTTGATTTTCAGAGTTCCGGCTTCAAACTTGGCGGTGATGTCGTTGGGGTCACAATCAGAAGGAAGCGAGAATTCCTTATAAACACGACGCCATCTGTTCCCACCGATCTGTCGTTGAGCACTGATCTTTAAGATCGGAGCCGAAGTCACTTGAACCTTCAATTGATCCCTTCTAAATCCTATTCATGACTTGAAATTATTTAGATATCAAAAAATCCATGATCCGTATATGAAAATGAGAATTACTGTATATAGTGAACCCAAAAAAAAAGGGTTCAAAAATCAATACATTAATTACAGAATGATTCAAAGATAATATGAATTACAGACATGCATGAATAATTTAGTTTCCAACGTTATTATTACCTGGGAGCATAACAACGAGGACGTGAAAATCATCATCAGTATGCCATTCAAAAAATGGTTCAATATCTTCATACACAACATTATATGCTGCAGCAAATTCAGCCTTGGAATCCATGGACTGTCTTCTTCCTCGTCTTCTTCTTCTTCTTCTTAGGGTTTTAGGAACTGCACCTATTAGCTTGCATGGGGGAGTTTTATCTGAAGGTTTTTATATGAATGGAAATGAGGCTTGGAAAATATAAATATAATATAGTTCGGTATTACTTTTCTTTTGGTGCAAAACTCCAGAGATGTGTGGGTGCAAGAAAAATAAATATACCTTAATTGGAGAATCAATATACTTCCCACAAAAACACACAGAATTTTAGCCTTTGATGGAAGCAAAATCAATAATGTTCAGTTTTCTATTAACTCCTGCATGTGCATGCAAATCTCTTTTCTTTCTTTCATTTTCCTTTGGATTCCTTCCAACAAGCATGCATTCACACTGCTTTACATATACAATATCTTGATTTACATTTTCTGTCTCTATTTTCGTACTTTTTTTTTTAAAAAAAAGTGAATTGGATCTGGGAGATTGATAAAAAAATGCGTGGATGGTTATGTGCCCATTATTTTAATCAAAATTAGCTAAGCCACCACTAGTTAAAAAAACATTAATAAAGTGATGTTTTTACATTGGTTGTTGTGAGAATTTGTAGAGGTGTAGAAATACCAATTAAGAAATGAGCTTCACTTTTTACGGCTTTAGTTATGTTGATATTAATATTGATATTCATTTCTTAGATTTATATTATTTTTCTTTTATAATTAATACCAAATGATTGTTTAGCTGATATAGAGCGAGTCACTTTGAAAATAAGAAAAATTATACTAGATGTATCTATACTTTCTTTCAAGTTTTAATTTGATACCTATGTATTTTTTTTCTCATATTTAAATCATTTAATTTTACTTTTTTTAGTAATATTAGCTCTTGTAATTTTGTTCTATTAACATTTTTAGTTTCTATACAAGGCTTAATGATATTAATAGAGCAAGATTAAAAATTTAATTAAGAAAAAAACACATAGGTACCAAATTAAAAATTAAAAAAAAGTGTGGGACCTCCAAAATGGTTTTCCCTTGAAAATATAAATAATCAATTAAATTTAGTAGAGAAATAAATAGTATTCATATAATTTTCCGAAAATGTATTTGTAATAAGAATTAGCATTATTTGTACTATGTTCTCGAATCAATCACATAACATTTTTTTTTTTATGTTTTAGGTAGGATTTGTTCTTTCATTTTTTTTTTCCTAATGCACCTTTATTTCGAGCATGCATTTACAGTACTTTAGATGCACAATCTTGATTTACTTTTTCTGTGACCTTTTTCCGAACTTCTTTAAGAAAAACAAAATGTAAATTAGACATGTCTTTATTATTTTAATCAAAATTTGGTAAGCTACTGGTAAAATTAAAAGCATTAGTATTTTATAAATAAGATGCAGGATTGGTGTCTTTCTACGTAGGTTCCAATAGTAACTAGTATAAAATACCTATAAAAAACGAGCTTCACTTTTCACTGCTTATTTTAGATCTTAGATTTTATAGTTATGTTAATACTAATGTTGATATTGATTTCTTATATTTATATTATTGGTCTCTTACAATAAACACCAAACGGCAAACGATTGTGCATAGCTCATATAAATAGACGTACTTTTGAAAATATAAATAACCAATTAAATATATGATTTTTATTAGAAAAATAATTAGTATTTACATTATTTTCTTAAAATATATTTTTAACAAGAATTATCATTATTTTTATTTCTTCTCGCATAAATTACATAGCCTTCTCTGTTTTTGTAGGTAGAATAGTTCTTCTAAATAATGCTTGCCCTTTAAACCAAAAAATAATTTCTACGTAATTTAATATTAATTATTTAACAAAATTGTACTTAATTTAATTATTAAGTGAAAAAACATATAATTAAGTTAGTAGAGGATATATTCTGGTAACAAATAAAATCATACTAATAATCAATTATCAATTAATGTTACAAAAAGCGGACCGATTATTGAACAGGACTATTGTCCTCCCCCTCCCCTCCGGGCATCAGGACTATTTATCAAACGGTGGTTGAAGTAATGATTAAATTAATATGCAAGTTTGTGATGTGTTAAAATATTAAAATTATTAGAAGTATTGAGAACAACCAACCAATATTAATCCAAATAGAAGGGGTTTGGCCGCTTAAGTATATATGATGCGACCAATATAATTAACAGTGTTAAGATTAAAGAAATGGGAAAAAATCCTTTATAAAATTAAGGGATTAAGATGACTAAATATGCATTTTTGCCCTAAATTTATTTAAACTCACTTTAATGATTAACAGTATTTAGACCCATAAATATGTTTAGATCTGATATAGTGATATAATATCAGAAAATGTATTAGCTAGAATTCATATTTGCATTTTTTACAGTTTATGTGATTGTGGAAATTTTAAATATCACTCAAGAATAAGACTAATTCGCGAATAATAACATATTGAAAGACCAGCTATCTATAAAACATAAGAATTTCATCAGGAAACACATGTTAATAATATTTACATTGATATTAATTAATTAATGTCACATTTGATTTTCACCCACAAATTTGAAGAGAACACATGAAATTAAAGTATTGATGATATATTTTTACACATCGAAAAGCAGCTGTTGGATATCATCAGATGTTCCAAGAGATGATGAATAATCCTGCATCGCATTATTTCTAATCCCAATCCCAATCACCAAAACCAGCATTAATAAGGCCACAATAAACCCAACCCATTTCCACACTTGTTTCTTATTATTGTTACTGTCTTCTTCTTCCTTCTTCTTCATCACTGTTTTTGGAAGCTTGATGTATAGCTTCCCATCTTCAAACCTGGCAGATATCAGATTGATGTTTATATCTCTAGGAACTGAAAATTCTCTGTAGAAACGACGTCGAACTGATTTTTTGTCCTCCATTTTCTGTTCACCACTCACCTTCAGGATACGGTTTGTGGCTATTTGAACCTTCATTTCGTCTCTCCTAAATCCTGCATTATTATTTTACTTTCAATTCATCAAGACCTTCAACATGCAATTTCATTTTCTTTTCCAACTCAAAAACTGAGGTTTGTTTCAATGAAATAGCTTCAAAATATAGTGAAAGGAAAAAGGGATATATGCAGAACCTGAAAGCAAAACAACAAGGGTGTCACTTTCTTCTTCACGAACCCAATTAAAAGCTGGTTCAAAATCTTCATATAAAATCTCTTTCTTCGCTTTTGAACTCATGATGATTTGTATGTTCCTCTTCCTTTGTTCCTCTACCTTTATATGTGACTATTGGAGATTGAAAGCTCTCTCTCTAGATATATACATGCTTTGATCTGTTCTTGCCCCATCTGCTTGCGTTTTCTTTGAACTTAGGTCTCGTCCTTTTCGTAGAGACATGGTTTTGGGTTTCAGAAATTTGGTTCCCTGATGCACCTAACCAGATGTGGGAGAAAACTTCCGTCATTGGAAATGCTTATTCTCCTTCTTTCTCCCTCTGTCTCTCTCCAATGACTTTCTCCTTCAAACTCTCTCGATTCTTTCTTCCATATAATATTCCCAATCCCTTGTAAATGTAAAGGCTACGTAATAATTTAAAAAAATTAGTTAAGAAAATTATTTAAGGTAGTAAGATATTTGTAAAAAAAAATAATTTGGCTAGAAAAATTTGTAAAAATAGTGTATTACTTTCTTAAAATACCTCTTTAATTGTTTGTATCGAAAACTACTCATATAATTTTCCTTTTAATTTATTTGACTGAACAATAGGGGTTGGGGTGCCGACAAACCTCCAACAAGGATTGTTTTCCTTTTTCATAAATGGGGGCATTTTGGTAATTTTGCTGGAATTTTATAATTTCAATTTATTTTACTGTCTCTGATTATGTTACTTAGAGAATTGAAACTGGATTTTTATAATTTTCAAGGTCTTTATTTTTCTAGATATTAAGTCTAGAGATGCGTAAAAGGCTTTTTTTTTCAATTTAGAATCCTATTAAAAAAAATTAAAATCACTAAATCTCAAATCAAGTTTTGTTCTAACATTTTAATAGGTTTTAATAACACTAAATTTACAAAATACAAATAACAACATACTTTTGTAAGAATTCTTTATTTAAAATTTGATAACTTCAAATTTTTTTATGAGATTTTTGTTTGCTTATATTAAAGTGAACTTTAATTAGGGCCCTCAGTTGACCATGTTAAGGAGAGGAGGGACCATATGATGGGACGTTGAAAAAAGTGCAATGACGAGGCCAATCCAAAACCGCTCACTCACACGTGGCTTTCAAAGCCATTATTGTATGCTCTGTCTGTGGCAGTTAGTAGTAGGAATCCTACGGGGGAGGGGAATTGCTTGACGGTGACATGATCTATCCTTAGATTTTTGCGGCATTCGGCACTTTTCCTCCTGAACTTCACTTGAGTGCTGTGGAGAAATGGCTGCGATCAACGGAACAACGCCGGCGAATCTGGTTTTTGCTGTTAATGGAGTGAGGTTTGAGCTCTCTGAGCTTGACCCCTCAACCACTTTGCTCGAGTTCCTCCGTAGTCGGACCCGCTTCAAGAGCGTCAAGCTTGGCTGTGGTGAAGGTCAGTTGGTTTGCTTCTCTCTGTATTTTGAACTTTATCAGGTTTGTGTTCCTTGAGGTAACTCTCTTCGGAAGTTTCCTTCTGCTTTATTCTTTGCGATTTTCTTGTTCTCCTCTTGTATTCTGTTATTTGACGCTGACTGTAGGGAATTTAATGATCTCTTCTCTGTCCGTTTTGGGTTTCAACTTTCAGTGTTAATAATAGTTAATTGTTTTCTTTAACCTGTGAGTTCAGTCAGCAATCTTTTGTTTTCAAACGTAATCAAGCCCCAAAAAATACAGTATTCTGTGTATTTTAAAATACCATTTTAATTAATAGTTAATGAATGCTGGTAGATGATTTGGTTTTATATTGATGTCAAATGAATAATAAATAGATAGATATAAAATGAATAGTGATAGATTAGCCAGTATATTGATTGTATAACCTTTTATTAGTCGGACATTGAAATCGTATGATACTCTTGGA